TGGCCATGCTAAATTGCCTTGTAGTGTCCAGGGATGAGGAGGTATTATGGGGATAGGGTAGAGTGCTGGGTCTGGATGGGATGCTCTTTGGAGGGTCAGTGCAGACTCAATAGGCTGAATAGTCTCTTTCTGCACTGTAGGGATTCTATGGTGACTTTTTATTCAATCGTGGGATATGGGTATCTCTAGCTGGGCCAGCATTTATTGTGTATCCTTAGATGCCCTTGTGAAGGTGGTGGTGAGCTGCTTTCATGCTGAAGTCCATGTGCTGTAGGGAGATACCAAATTCCATTGGGGAGGGTCTTTCAGGATTTTGACTCAGCAACAGCGAAGGAATGGAGATATATTTCCAAGTCAGGATGGTGAGTGTCCCACATAACTGGCACCGCTGAGTCCTGATTCTCTAACAGGCACGGCAATCTGCACTATTGTTTCAGCACTCGTGTGTTTTTTTTAAACGTATTCCACATCATTGCTGTATGAAAAATATCTGGGCCATATCCTGCTGTATCCTCCACGAGGAGATGGGCACGGTGTCCAGAGATAATCAGGCAAGTCCATATTCTCTATAAAAGCAGTTGGAAGGGCTGAATCACTAGCACCATCCCACAATTAAATGTTGGGATGTTTACAGCCAACGTTTTTGAACACACACACACACACACACACACACACGGACTTTAACAAGCAGAGATAGTAGGAACTGCAGATGCTGGAGAATCCGAGACAACAAGGTGCAGGGCTGGATGAACACAGCAGGCCAAGCAGCATCATAGGAGCAGAGAGGCTGACGTTTCGGGCCTAGACCCTTCATCAGAAAAGGGGGAGGGGAAGGGGGTTTTGAAATAAATAGGGAGAGAGTGGGAGGCGGATAGAAGAGGGATAGAGGAGAGGATAGGTGGAGAGGAAACAAACAGGTCGAAGAGGCGGGGATGGAGCCAGTAAAGGTGAGTGTAGGTAGGGAGTTAGGAAGGGGATAGGTCAGTCCAGGGAGGACGGACAGGTCAAGGGGGCGGGATGAGGTTGGTCGGTAGGAGATGGAGGTGCGGCTTGAGGTGGGAGGAGGGGATAGGTGGGAGGAAGAACAGGTTAGGGAGGCAGGGACGAGTTGGACTGGTTTTGGGATGCGGTGGGGGGAG